ACTCAATCACTGGGAGACGGCAACCTTCCATCCCCGCGTTGTCGCGGCCGCAGCGCTGGCACGTCCGTGGGACCGCCTCCCTCAACCGGCCGAATATGGACTGTACAAGGACCTGCTGCAGTACATCACAAGCGGTTTCTGACAAACGAATGCGAATAACAGAAGTGAAGTTTGTTCAGAGAAAGCGTTTCATGGGTGAAGCTATCCCTTCTCATGGTGAACCTTAGAACCTGACATGGTTTTTGTAGGGGCAGGGGAGAGTATGCACACTGAGGACTGCAGTGCATGCTCTGCAACGTGCTCCGATACTGACCACAAGGTTGTCAAGAATCTTGTAGAGGAGTGTTTCATTCCGCGAGCACGGCGATTGACAAATGCTGGACAGTTACGCATAGGCGTGCCACACTGGCTCTTCGATATACAAGCCACTCGTATTCGATGGGATTTGATCGTGTGAAGCGGACAGGCTTGAACCATCGTCGAAGTAGCATTCAAAGAGATCTCCACCTAGACTTTCCGATGCACACTTTCCTTCATATTGATGAAAATAGTGTGTCCCAGAAAAGATACACATAAAACAGGAAAACAACACCACAATAAATTTGCTCAGAGAGTGTACCGCGATCGCGAGTTGGGAGGTCAGAACGCCCCCACCATCTTCATGATTTTCCACAACCGTGATTATCCCGTAGGTGTCTACCCTACATGCCAAAGGGAATCGCTCACACGTCTTCTGCCGGGGTTGAGCCTTTTAGGACGATTTGGATTGAATGGCATAATTTATAACAATTTGATGTAATTGGATGGAACTGAGCGAGGGTGACGGTTCTCTTATCATGCACAATGTGCTGCACTCAAACACATATCGTGCGGTCCAACGTCACACGAAGAAGAATCATCGGGGAATTGGGAGAAGGAAGATACTTACGTACGAGAGCAGCCCAGAAGTTTGTTATCGCTCGAAGCATTGTTTTATGCGCATGCGAGCAATACGATCCTCTGTCAGAACTGGCTGTAGAGGAGGAGGCAGAGGATAACAACCACAACAGCAGGTGTTTGCTACGTGTTGCAACAGGCAATAATGGTTCCACGTAAGCCGCAGGCTGCAGTTGCAACAACATTTATCAGAACTGCAGAGCAGGTCAAAGCAATAGGAGAGGAGTTACCAAAATTCTTTCTGATCATTCTTACGAGCTGACTTCTGCCAGCCAAATCGACTGTAGCCAACGTCTAATGCACTGCTCCCTCTGTGTCTGGATTTGAAAATTTTTCTGCTGCTTAACTCATAAACGCTATTTTAGAGCGCAACAGCGACCCATTGATCGAGAGTATGCTCTTGCTTCTTAGCGGGCAAGATTCCTAAAGAGACTTCAGAGGCCGTTGACGCCGAGAAGCGCTCGAGGAGCATCGTTTTTGCTGGAATTGAGGAAGCATCGTCGTATCAGCGTCCATCGGAGCGCCAGATGGAACTAGAAACGAAGGTTTTTAATCTTTTAGATGCAATAAACGTGGAGTAAAACCTCGAGTGGGTAACTGAGAAATCAAACAACTATCCAATCAACATATCGACAACGCCTCCTTCACACAGCACGTTACTCAAGCAACTCATGGTAACAGCGTTTTGGACCTCGTGCTGTCTTTTTCACCTAACGTTGCCAATATTTCTTCTCCCACCCTTTGTCAGTTCCGATCATAATGTCGTTGCCTTCCAAATAATTCACAAACTACCCTTGCGTCTAGAAATCCCTGCCCCAGATTTTGTCAATCTTGACTATTTTAAATTAGATGAGTTCCGGAAGATTGACTGGCTGGCAATTCTTGACAACTACATCTCTATAAACGACGTTTACGAACGAACGAACGGTTTTGTCTACAGATTTATTCCGCTTTTGCTTCCTTTAAGGTTCCTCCTCAGACTCAATCTAGGTACCCGCATTACATTCAAAATTTATTAGCGCAAAGTCTAGGCTTTTCTATTCGACTCTCTATCCGTTGTCTGATGAGCGCCATAAAAAGTTTGTGCCGACCTCGACTTTCACCTAAAAAATTTCTTCAGAATTCAGAAAGGCGATTAGCGACTAAAGCCGATCTTAAGCAACTATTTCGCCACATTCGGCAGAAAATGCACTCCCGTCCTGAGTCCGTGCATAGTGACATATCTGGTTCTCTCTTCACCTCTGATAAAGAGAAAGCTGATGCACTGGGTAATCACTTCGCAAGTGTGTTCGCCACTGACAATCTTGATACGGAATTATTTATTAGCGACCAGTTTCATATTCGGCACCGCCTATCGGACGTTTTCTTTCATCCTCAAGACGTCTTCAAGGTTCTTACTAGCCTGAAGCCGTCCTTATCTGAACCCTACGATGGTATTCCTCAGTGGTATATAAAAAGTGTATTCGTTCTTTGTGCATTCCATTGGCGCACATTTTCAACATTTCCATGCTTCTTGGGGAAGTACCCAAAATATGGAAAGAATCCTTATTAACCGCCATCCCTAAGCGTCCCAATAGCCGATTATTATCTGAATTTCGCCCAATCAGTATCATACCGACTGCGGCGAAAGTTATGGAGAGGTTAGTTAGGGATAAACTTTTGTCATGGCTCTTAAGATTCCGTGTTATTCCTGAAGAACAACACGGTTTTTAAGCGTTGCCTCAACATTATCTAACCTATTAGATGCCTCGGACGACTCTTGCACGCGACAGGGACGAATGGAGACGTTGCTGGCGCCCGCTCGAGCAATTCGATGATCAACGGGACGACAGGTGATACAGGATACAGGTGAGTAGATGCCTCATTTGACTGGACTATGCTCTGAATAACAACCAGGGCACGGATGTTATCTTTATTGATTTATCTAAAGCCTTCGACAGAGTCGTCCACTCTAAACTCCTCATGAAGTTAGGCCATCTTGGAGTCTGTGGCGCAGTTACTGAGCTGGTTTACATCATATTCTAAGGATAGATATATGACAGATTATGGTCGGAAATTGTTTTTCCAAGAGGTATAATTGTCGTAGTGGTGTTCCCCAGGGCGGTGTGTTATCACCTTTGCTCTTTCTCATATACACAATTGATCTTCCTTCTTATATCAGGACCTCGACCTATGTTAAGACACTAATATACGCAGACGATATCAAAATTTGTGCAACATACAGCTCTAATACTCAACTAGAAGTTTCTGATACTCAACTAGAAGTTCAAATGGCTGTCAAGCAATCTATTCATGGGATGGTGGAGTGGGCGACCCAGTGGGGGCTATCACTTAACCTCAGCAAATGTTCTGTAATGCACGTCGACCTCTCCAGCAATTTCGACATTCTCCCCACGTACCAAAAGAAATCCTTGATTAATGTCACAGTAATACTTGTCAACGAAAGTGCGCTCCACCACATCTTCGAGTATCAGATTAGCGAATTGATCTATGGACTTTAGATATCCGATCAACTTCCTTCCATCACGAAGAACCACAACGAGTTTTTCGTCCAGTTGCTTAAAGGAGGAATTTCACGATTAGAATGGAGGTCGAGGAAGAAGTAATTGACCTAGTTGAGGGACCCACGGACCTCCTGAGGGTGCGAACTGATGCGCAATTCGCATCGAAAAATTTGACCTCGGCGACCTATTATGCCTCAAAGTTGGCGGGTCTGGCGATCTCCGCCCACCGACCAGCTGATCACTCGCCGCAGTCTATACGTGGGATTGATTAGATAGCAGAGAGAGCGTAGTGTTGAAGAGGGCACAGCGATGAGAGTCGCATCAATGCTCAAATCAACGGGCAAGGAAGGGGTCCCATTTCTCGGGTTCTGGGCCGTTTCTCATGGTTCTTCCTTCTTTCGTGTACCACTCACCATCCCTAGGTTAATTTGAAATGGGTTGCTTTTCCAGCGTGAATTCGTCCTTTAAGTAAACTGATGGCACCCGGTAGATATGGATCAGGGAGATCCATCTTGAGATACAGGGGTAAAATCGATTATCTGATATATATCTGATATTTGAACTTCTTTTTTGATTTTTTGTAACATCGCATTTCTATTACCCGGACATTGATTGCAAGTTCACTGATAGTATATGGAAGCAAGAGTAAAACAAACGACTTGAGGAGATAGCATATACTATCTGCAGTATACCCATACAGATAATTGAGTGATGCAAATCCGTTACTCTATGCTCGCGTCCCCTCCAACATTATCGAGCCCATCATAAAGAACTCAGTAAGCATTTCTGAACATGCTGTGAAAAATAGAAGTTCCAGATGAACTGCCGACCGTATTTTGATGCGGCTTACCTTCAACCATGTTGTTCTAACGACAAAGCTCCATATATTGGATATCATGAGAACAATCATTATCGCGGGTTCATATATCGTTTTGAAGTATATCTGAAAAATTTTTGTTGAGCACTTCCAAGGGCATCCAAAGCAAGAGCTTTTTGAAAGGCTTATTTCTGTTTACCGCTGTTGCCACAGCGTGATGCTAAACTTATCAGAAGGGTGCTAAGTATGTTACTGATTTATTGGTATTCCAGATTGGTCCCCCGTCAACCGCCGGGACCTTCCTTTCCTGCGCAAGCTTTCTATCCTTCCGCTGTGGTCCCTTCCTCCTGTGACACCAACACCTCGTGGAAGTGACGCGTATGCAACAAAAAGGAGTTTCATATGGTAGAGTACATCGTAATTGTTTATATAGCCGTAGGGGTGTTATCACAACTATCCTGCTACAAAACATTGATATCTCAAATCCTGTAAGCTACCCGATTTGTTAGCGGTTTGTTTATCCCATGAGCTTCTTATCACTCACTTCAGGACATACATATACTCGATATCCGAAAGTTGGGGTAGGTGTCATCGGAAATGACGTGGCCATCGCCGCACTTGATAAAAGCTATGTGGATAAGCTGCTTCCAACATACATCGCTGGATATCAGCAAAGCATGCTGGCAACAGCTTATCCACGCACTTCTATCAAGTGCACGTCACTTCCGGTGACACACCTACCCCAACTTTCGGATATCGACTGTACATACATACGTACAAACCGACACACCAAGTTAGCGGTTTATAAACTAGAAGGATTTACCACAGCTGATCACTTCATTATATTAGGTTGTCTCATAAATAGTGTCGCTTTTTTTCAACCAAAAATTTTCATCTAAATCCCCATGCTTTTACATCGTCATATACCATTCGAAAGAGAATTGTCTGCTCTACAAGATGCTATGTTCCTCTTCCACCTCTGTTCCAGGGTTTTCAAATTTTAGGCCTGCGAAATGGGAGGTCCAGCCGACAAAAATTGACCAAACCGACAACTATCTCTAACTTTATCTTCCCTTGGGAGAAATCAATCAATGATGTACCCTCTACTTATACATGACCTCTTCTGAACATTACACTATTAGGTTTCCCAACAAGTCGCGTCGTTCCATTTCCAGACCTGGTTTTTCAACCAGAACTCGACGGTCGAGCACCATTACCTGAGATCTAGGTCGAAATTTTTTTACAGCCGAGACATTGAAAAACTAGTAGAATTTCAAGAACAAGTCATGACTAAGTTAGGAATGTACGCCTGGTTGATTTTCTCATCTTCTCAGGGATAATTTTTTCAAAGAAATGCGGTCACTTTCGTGGATAAAGCACCTTATTCCTAAACACCTAAAATTCGAACTAATTCCCAACAAACATAAAAACAAAACAAATGAGCGAATAGAGCAGAAGAAGTGCTCACAAAAGGAACACCACTCGATATGAAACAATGGCGTTTACGAGGAACAATTTCAATTTGAAAATTGCTATGGCTTATCGGTCAGCCAATTCGAAAAGAAACACGGCAAAGCTTTTTCGGCAACCTAAGGAGTGGAATGTTCAGAAGAGGTCATGAGTAAGTAGAGGGTACATCATTGATTGATTTCTCCCAGGAAAATAAAGTTAGAGCTAGTTGTCGGTTTGGTCAATTTTTGTCGGCTGGACCTCCCATTTCGCAGGCCTAAAATTTGAAAACCCTGGAACAGAGGTGGAAGGGAACATAGCATCTTGTAGAGCAGACAATTCTCTTTCGAATGGTATATGACATGGTGTAAAAGCATGGAGGATTTAGATGAAAATTTTTTGGTTGAAAAAAAGCGACACTATTAGGTTGTCCCATAATTAGTGAATCACTTTACATTTATCGTTATTAAAAATCCAAGAAAATTGGTGAAGGCGTGAAACATGTTTTGCGAAGTAGCATCCACATTGTCCTACTTGAGCAATTACTCAGCCCATTTCCATGCTGCCTTCCGTGGCTGACATTTCAATTTTTCTGGAACCTATTTTTGAGCTCCCTTCTTAATCACTTCTGATTAAGATCTTTCAAACGCCCAACAATATAGAGAATCGACCAGCAGATAGGCAAGGGCACGCTCCCTCACTCCACGGTCTGCTTATAGTTCACTCTATCGAGAGGTTGGCTTTTTTAGTTGAAGATGACCCACACTCCAACTACCCCTCAACTGGCAATCTCAGTGCTATACCCAGCGCCACTAAGCGTGAATATGGACGAACTAGCCGCCTTTTGCTAGAGCATGCCCGACTTGTTAAAATAATGGAATGTAGACATCTACGTAGAGTTGTAACGATTTTAAAATATTTAATTTGTATCTCGTGTGCTTTGAGCTCGAAACAGCTCCGCACACGATCTGACATCGTCATGTTCCTTCTGATCTCCCTTAGTTCCTTACAGTGATCATCCAGCTTATTCACCAGGGTTCTGGACTGCGTGAAGTGTACTAGCAAATCTCCGAGGAGCAGTAGCCCAGCGTGAACGATTCGGGAGTTCTGATAGCAAAAGCCAAACCTCATTCTAGTCCGACCCTTCAGAGATATTGGTGGAGCACGAGAGTGACCATGCGCTGGGAACCGCCGCCTAGTAATACTAGAGTCACTGAAGAAGATCAACATCTACAGCGTAATGGGCGCATTCAATTTGAAAGTAAAGCAAGACAAAGTCTGCTTTTTTCCTGAGGTCGTTCGACCCACCTTGCGGAGAATATTCATAAAAAATTAGAGACTCTCAAGCTAGCCGATCTTTCACTTCCTCTGTGTGGCCCTATCCTCGTGCCAACAAGAGGCAACTCAGTTTGACCTCTAGCGCTCTTCCCCAGGGAGGAATTTTACGCTAAGTGACATGACCTCAAACTCGACTTCCGATCTTTCTTCGATCAATAGCTCCTGGATTTCTAGAGATAAGACAGCGACAAAATTTCCCTGTATAGGCAATACATTGTAGATGACAGGGATGTATGTTTGGATGAGCAGAGACTCCATATGAAAAAGAAAAAAATTCGAATTCAAAAATACCCAAAGTGATTCACTAATTATGGGACAACCTAATATTTATGAGAAACCTAATATAAACCAGAACTTTGGTGTGTGCGTGTGTGTGCGTGTGTGTGTCGTTCTGTCCGTCCGGACCGACCGCTCACAAAACCAGGGAGTACGAAGGGCAACACTTTGTGATGTTGATGTCACGATCATGATAAACCCACAGCAGCTATTTCGAAGAAACTCTACAGTCATTCCAATAGTTGAAGTGTGAAGAGCGAACTCAGCGCAAGAATGAAGCCGGAAGAAGAGTCGAGAATGGTGAACTTGGGAGGCTCTGCAGTCCAGTCTACTCTGGCGCGCTCCATTGTAGACCGATCAACCACGATAATCTATTCGTTCGGTGATCCGGACGAGTTATTTGGTCGAGGACATGGGAGCAGGGTCAACCCTATCGTTGTTACTCTTTGGAAATTTTTTACGACCCCCCTTCATGGGTGATTTGATACGACCCCCCCTTGTATGTAACACTTGTGTAGAGACAGTGTTGCCATCAATATTTATTGCTACGTAAGTCCCTTTGGCCTCCTGACGGTGGAGCGCATTTGCTCACGGTGAAGAGGCGTCGAACGGGGAGTGTGAAAATTCGAGGAGTTTTTCTTTTTTACATTTCAGGTAGTTCGGAAGATTCAGGTGGATTTTGGATCGACGTGGCTCCTCCTTCCTAACGAGTGCTCATTTGTTCTCAAACACTTCGGAATGAATAAGTTATTAGGCAAAAAATAAAATTGCAAGAGAATTTTTACACTCCTCTTTCTAGGGCTATAACTTCCTTCATATTCGAGCTTCAGCGCCGAAGTGATTTGATTTGGAAAATTCAAATTATTCTCTCTCCAACCATGGGTAAAAATTTCTTCGAAAGTTAATTTAATAAAAATTTAGTACGTTGTTACTTTTTTCTGTGCAAAGCGACTTTTTGACCTTCAAACGATCATAACTTCCTTCAAAGTCATTCATTTGGGAAGCTGAACACGTATAATAAACTACAGGATTCAAGCTTTCTAACGAGCACCCAAGCGTTCCTGAAAGATCAGTAGTTCAAAAATTAGTCCCGTTGTTACTTTTTTGGGGGTTTGCGTTACTATTTTTTTGGAACCGCGACTTTTTTACCTTCAAACGATCATAACTTCCTTCAAAGTCATTCATTTGGGAAGCTGAACACGGTATAATAAACTACAGGATTCAAGCTTTCTAACGAGCCCAAGCGTTCCTGAAAAGATCAGCAGTTCAAAAATTAGTCCCGTTGTTACTTTTTTTTTGAGGGGTATTCTTCAAGCCATTTTCTCGAAAACGCGAGTTTTCTTAGGTTTCACTGCCCGTAACTTCTTGGAAGACCAATTTATGTTTAATTTAGGATGTGCTAGAAAGCTTCGAGCATGCGCTTGCACTACATCCCTTGCCTTGGTGCGCGCCACGCCTCGGGCGCCCTTCTAATTCGCTGATTCATTTGAAAGCTCATTTAGAGGGAAGCGTTGTTTTATGATGCTGTGGGAGGCCTGTCAAGTACAGTAAATGGTGAATGCTGTCGGATCTGCTCTCTTCTCGAAGCAGGTCTTTCACCTAAAGGCGGAGTTGATGATGAAAAATCGGCTCATCAAAAATCAAGGTAGAGGAGGTCAGTGGGTCAGAGATGACGGAAAAACTATGACAAACGAAAGAATCGTAGGAAATAGACCGCATATTTGCGCATTGTAGCGATTCTCTTCGGCAGGGCTTCTTCAATGCCAACATTCTCTGCTAAACGGCCACAGTCAGACAGCGAGGGAGGCAGGTGGGCAGCGACGCGAGTGGAGCGGATACCGCACTTTAAGCCGTTTGGGGAACCCTTCGCTGCGCGAATTTTGCGCTGGTCCACATCCTCATGGAGTGTTCATAGTTGGCGATTAGGCGATTAGGCGATTAGTCTAAATGAAAAATATACGTATAGATTCGGCGAGTAGGCGATCAGGCGAGTAGGCGATTAGGCGGTGAAGACTACATACGTATCGACTTGTATGCTCCGCCCTGAGGGCGTTGTAGGCGAGTAGGCGATTAGGCGAGTAGGCGAGTAGGCGAGTAGGCGAGTAGGCGATTAGGCGAGTAGGCGATTAGGCTATTAATCATCATCTACGATTGTGGAGCGGTAGATCTTCGGTGACTTTTTTTTGTTGAGAACCTCCATAATTTACTTTTTGTTTGTTTCATAATCGTCTCTTAAAGTATCTATATGGTTCTAGTAAGGATTTCTATAGGAGACAAAACATATGACAGATAAACATAACAATAACCTAAAAAGGACCATTAAAACACACAAACATTCGTACACAGTAATAGGACGTAAAAAGCAATAATGAAGATTTCGAATCTGCCGTATTCAGATATTCCCAGCAAACTTTCCCCAGGAGATTTATCTTTCTGAAAGAGTATACAACAATTCTTATTTTGTAATAAATATCGGTGCTGTTGTAAAAAGACCGTATCAAATTTTAGTTAAAATTCATTATGTCTGCACAAGGCACACGTGAAAACGACCCAACACCAATGAGAATCTAAATCGACCATGAACATCCACACAAATGGATTGAACTCACCTGAGCTGCGCTAATGATGAATTACAGTACAGTCGATATCCGAAAGTTGGGGTGGGTGTGTCACCGGAAGTGACGTGCACTTGATAGAAGTGCGTGGATAAGCTGTTGCCAGCATGCTTTGCTGATAGCCAGCGATGTATGTTGGAAGCAGCTTATCCACATAGTTTCTATCAAGTGCACGTCACTTCCGGTGACACGCCCACCCCAACTCACCGATATCGAGTATAATATGTCTCGTCCGTTCCTTTCTTCGACGAGTCTTACTTGACGTGGCATAAGCGTGTCATGCAGATAAGAGACGATACCACACTGATATAATCTTATCAGGACCACAGCCACGTCTGCCACGTAGCAAACCGTGCTGCAGAAGAGCACACATTCACTGAATTCAGCAAGAAAGGATTACTTACATTACATAACTGTACAAAGAACGGGTAGAAAACTAAAAGCATTTCCTGATTTGCACACGGCGCACTCTTTAGTCGTCAAAATTGAGGTGCATAGGCATATTAGCTTCTCACCCCTACACTAGACTACTAGTTGTTAAGAGCAGATCTTGTCAAAGTGTTGCATACAATCCAGATATCACCTGATCGCCTACTCGCCTAATCGCCTACTCGCCTGATCGCTAATCGGCCTTACTCGCAGTACTCGCCTTAATCGAGTATCTTCCTTTGCTCACGATGATCGCCTCTGCCTACTCGCCTACTCGCCTAATCGATACGTATCCTTTGCTACTCGCCTGATCGCCTAATCGCCTACTCGCCTAATCGATACGTATCCTTTACTCACCGCCTGATCGCCTACTCGCCTACTCGCCTAATCGCCTACTCGCCTACTCGCCTAATCGCCTAATCGATCTGTATACTTTTCACTTTGAATCATCGCCTAATCGCCTAATCGCCTAATCGCACGCACGATCGCCAACTATGAACGCTCCATCAGGGATGCACCTGAATGGCCTTTGATACATATAGCACATAGTACGACCACTCCGAAGCGGTTACCTGCTGCTTCATAAACCTTTGTTGATTGTGATTTCACCGAATAGCTGATCGCTATCAGTATTAGTCTAAATTACTACGGTATAAAAGCACAGTGCCGGGGTGTGGTGAGCATTGATCATCTTCAGCAGCATATATCCAACAAACGTATTCCCACTCTAGAAGAATAAGCAATGGAGCTTCCTCCAGGTGAGCTTGAGCTTTGTAATGTGTCATGCAAGCTTACAGTTTTTTTCGTTGCAACAGCTTCTCTGCACTTAGTCAGCCAGATCCAAAAGCAATACTCAGTGGTTTGCAATTGTCAACAGATACACTTGAACCATGCGACCGCCTTCACATTTAGTGATATTGTCTGCAAGAGAACAACGGAAAATTTAGCTTGTTCACATAGTAGGGGTGGAAAAATACTACTGACGCTCATCGCCACTGGATGCGAGACAAGAATCCCCTGAGGTCGCCGCGCAAGCGAAGGTAGGTGACCGCAAGCGGCGACTACCGTATTCAGGTTCTTGCAGTTTAAAACGTAGCAATTTGCTAATTCTAGGCCAAAGATAAGATTAAGTGATTAAAACAAAATGCAGAAATGGGCACTAAACAGACGGAACGAAAGAGCGTTGTCTTACTATACTTGGCGAATTGCCAAGCCGTAAAAACGCCGGAGACGTCGCGCGGTGACCTAGTTTTGGCGTGGCAGAAGCGGGCGACTCTTGACCGTCTCCCTATCGCCACACACAGCTGTTAAGCCACTGAGAATCCAAAATCCATTCAGGAACCGTCGAGCCTACGCTGAATAGCATAAAATGCCTGGTTAGGCGACCTAGTTCCTGAGAACTGAGTGATATAGTTTGGTGGATCCATGTAATGGAGCGCTCATAGTTGGCGATCGTACGTGCGATTAGGCGATTAGGCGATGATTTAAAAGAAAAGTATACGTATCGATTAGGCGATTAGGCGGTAGGCGAGTAGGCGAGTAGTCGATTAGGCGTGTGTCGGAGTAGGCGGTAAGGAAAGGATTAGTTATCGTTTAGTCGCCTAGTCGCCTATCGGCCTACTCGCCTACAACAAAGTACAGCTTCTTCTTCTTCTTCTCCCTAGCGTTAGTCCCGCGCAGTCGCAGGGTCCGCTGTCTTTGTCAGTCGTCGCCACTTTGCTCTGTCCAGGGCATCTTCTGCTGTGGCCATGACTTCACTTAGGATCCTTCTTGATCACGTCTCTCCACCTCTTCTTTGGGGCTCCTCGCGGTCGCTTGCCTTGCACTTCGAAGTCCATCGCTTGTTCTTATCGGATGATCCTGTGGCCTCCTTAGCACATGCCCATACCATCGTAGACGCTGTTCCCGTACCTTCAGCTGGACAGGGGCAGTCTGCATGACCGCTCTGACATCCTCGTTTCCTGACCCTGTCCAGCCGCGTCCAGCCGCAGGCCCACCTCAGCATCCTCATCTCAGCGGAGTGGAGCTGCCTTTCGTGGTTCTTGTTCAGAGGCCAGCACTCGCTGCCGTATAGCATCGCAGGCCTGACCACTGTTCGGTACACCTTCCCTTTGAGCGTTCTGGAGCACCTTCGATCGCAGAGGACCCCAGTGGTCTCCCTCTGCATTTCAAGCATCCCAGCGTTGACTGCGAGCCCTTTCAACTCGCCCTGATCACACCGCCAGCCCCGTCGCTGCAGATCTCTCCCCATATGTCAGCCGGAAGTCCCTCCACATCTTCTCTGCCATGGCCTCCCACCACTGCCGTCCCACGACCGGCTTCTGCACCCCCTCTTCTGGAGCTCTCGAATCCAAACTTGGTTCTTCTCTGACCACTTCGCTCTCGCATCCCACCTTCTGCCAAAACCCTTCTGATTTCTGCGAGCCTTGGCTCTAAAGTTCTCTCCCTGCTTATATCCACACCAGCCTTCAGGGCGACTGTCGTCTGCGTAGAGGGATTGCCTGTAGCCTGGTGTCCTCTCAAGAGCCCCCTCTCATCCTGGCCACCATGGCATCGAGCGTTAGGAGGAACAGGAAGGGGCTCAGAGCTGACCCTTGATGCACCCCAACCGTGATGTTTCCACTCCTTTGTTAGGCCGTGAGGGGTGCGTATGGCTGCTTTGGCTCCTTCGTACATGTCCTTCACCAGCGAGATCAGGTGTTCTGGCACGTTTCGTTCCCTGAGCGACCTCCATAGTACTGCTCGCGGTAGCCGGTCGAACGCCTTTTCCAGGTCGAGGAAGGCTAGGTAGCAAGGCGGCGCTTTTCGCGATACTTTTCCATCACTTGCCTGCGATGAAGATGGCATCCGTTGTAGATCTTTCGGGCATGAACCCGAACTGTTCCTGGGAGATCGGGACCAGCTCCCGCAGCTTCGAGTCGACCAGCGCTCGTACAACTTCATGGTATGCGCAGTCAACTTGATCCCGCGGTAGTTGGAGCAGTCCATCGCGTCACCCTTCTGTTTGAAGATGGGGACGATAGTACTTGTCTCCATGCATCCGGCATCTTTCCTTCCACTGTTACCTTGTTCAGGAAGCTGGTGAGCCACCTTATGCCGTACTCTCCGAGCGCCTTCCATGCCTCGATTGGCACCCCATCTGGACCAACCGCCTTTCCAACCTTCATCCTCCCAAGTGCACACCTAACCTCATCCTCAGTCCAGAGTGCGATGGGACCAGCTGTGGCCTCTGCCCGTGAGTTGTTCTTGTGGGAGAACTCCTCGTTTGAAGCCCCTGAAGTACTCTTCCCACCTCCCTCTTGCAACTCTTGCAGATGGCGAGGTTTCGGGGCTCTCGGGTCTTCTGCCAGCGCTTGTATGCTTCCTTCTTCTGCTTCACGACTCGCTGGACCTCCTCGTTCCAGAACCACGCTGCCTTGTCTCCTCTGAATCCACCTCGCGTCTCGCCCAGTACCTCCTTGGCACATCGCAGGATGGTCTCAGCCGCGTTGCCCCAAGTCCGCTGTATTGGCCCGTTAGGATCTGGGAGACCGACTTCCATTATCCTTCGCTTGAGGTTTCTCTTCTCCGCTTGGTGCAGCTTCCACCACCGGATTCTCCTCTCGGTTCTTACCCTTGTCTTCTTAGGGAGGTCTATTGCGATGTCTGCCTGTCTATTCCATACCCCACTTCAACTTGCACCCATAGGCTTTCCGGTGAGACTGTTGAGAAATGGTTTCGAATTGAGGGGTTGGGAAGTCAACATTACTAATAGATCTCAAACGTGTGAAGAAAAGGAATAAAAAACGAAGCGATAAAGTAAGAAATTATTAATTATGACTTGATTTTGGGCTCGGTGTGCCGAATCCCGCTCAAACAATCTTTTCCGCGCAGGACCTACTCTGATCCGGCACACCGAGTCCTTTGATGATAGCCCCACTTTTGCTGTTTTTTCGTCCTTCTCGAACCTTCGTTGACTATGTGATCGCGAACCGCGATACAATCTAAACCATAGCATGTAGTCTTCCCCGTCTTATCGCCCACTCGTCTAATCGCCCAATCGATACGCATATTTTTCATTATATGTGAACTAGTGCCTAATTGCCTAATCGCCTAGTCGCCTAATTGCACGTACGATCGCCAACTCTAAACACTCTAAAAGCGGGAGATTCTCAATACGATTCCTAGAAACGTGTTCCTAGAAACACTCGAAGAAAGCAAAAAAAATCAGGTCTTGAGCGCTTACTACTGCGTGTATGACACGATTGGCCACACTGAGACAAGCTGACATGTGGAACTTATGGTTAATTTCCGCGGCATGACATTCCATGGCATTTTCACGCCGGATCACCTGTATCACCTGTCGTCCCGTTGATCGTCGATTTGCTCGAGCGGGCGCCAGCAACGTCTCCATTCGTCCCTGTCGCGTGCTAGAGTGGTCCAGTGGATCCTCCTCGCTCGAGGGACACGAAGCCTTCATTCCTTTCGTTCAGAGCTTTCGTGAAGAAGTCTGACCATCGGGCCGGCGGTCGTCCAGGTGTTCGTTTGACGTCCCGAGGGATCCAGTCGGTAACCGCTCTGGTCCAACGGTCATCGCAAAATCGCATGACGTGTCCGGCCCACCTTATCTTCGATTCCTTGGCGAAAACGGCAGCGTCCCTGATCTTCGATGGCGTAGTTCGGAACTCCGGATTCCCCTCTGCACTTGCGTGTATAGGGTTACTCCTAGCATCGTCCTCTCGACAGCGCGTTGGATAACGCTGACCGCATGCTCGTCCTGCCTGCGCAGAGTCCAAGTCTCTGAGGCGTAGGTTAGGGCAGGAAGGAATCGAAGAGGTGGGCACGGAGCCGGATGTTCTTCGTCTTCTTCACTACTCCCTCGATGTTCTTAAACGCTCCCCATGCCGCTCGTTTCCTCCTGCTCAGCTCTGGAGCTAGATCGTTCATCATATTGATTTCCCGACCTAGGTACACGTAGCTGGAGCATTCGGTGATGTTCGTTCCGTTGAGCGTGAATGGGGCATCAGGAACCAATCCGTTTCTCATAAACATCGTCTTCGTTAGGTTCAGCTGCAGACCAACCTTACCACAGGCGCAGTCGAAATCAGCCAGCATTCGCTCCGCTTGCTCGATGTTCGGCGTTATAAGAACGATGTCGTCAGCAAAACGAAGGTGGTGTAGTTGCCGGCCGTCGACCTTCACTCCCATGTCTTCCCATTCCAGTTGACGCATGACGTTCTCGAGAGCGGCGCTGAAGAGTTTGGGCGAGATGGTGTCGCCCTGTCGAACCCCTCTCTTGACGTCGATGATGACCTCCTTGTAGAATGGTGAGATTCTGGTCGTAAAGTTGCTGTAGAGCTCACGAAGAATCTTGATGTACTGAGTAGGGACGCCCTGGTTGCCCAAGGCTTCGATGACCGCTTCTGTCTCCACAGAGTCGAAGGCCTTCTTCAAGTCGATGAACGTGAGACAAAGCGGCATCTTGTACTCTCGTGAAACTTCAATGAGTCTTGTAACCGTGTGGATATGGTCGATCGTGCTGAACCCTCTTCGGAACCCTGCTTGCTCGCATGGCTGTCCTTCATCTAGTATTCTGCCGATCCTGTTAAGGATGACTCGAGTGAATAGCTTGTAGATTACAGCAGGCAGATTGGTCCAAGTTCTTGTACAGCAACACGGTCCTGCTGGTTTTCCACGGAGTGGGTGCATTCCGACAGGTAGCGCGTGAAGAGTCGAGCCAGAGTTTTGATGATAACTGGCGGTGCATTCTTCAGATGTTCCGGTTTAACCCTGTCGAGACCGGGTGCTGTACAATTCTTCACCGACTTGATGGCGTGTCGGACTTCGGAAGAGAGAACTGAGGGACGACGTATCCATCCTGTTGCAGTTGATAAGTAGGCAGATGGACATGGCTATCGAAGAGATCCGAGTAGAAGTCGTGGATGACTTTCTCCATTGCCCTTCGGGATGCAGTAACTGTTCCATCCGGACGTCGGAGGCAGGTCATCTTGGTCTTGTAGCTGGCAAAGCTTCGGCGGGCATTGCGGATGCTCCTC